CGGCGGGCGATGGATCAGGGTAGTCCGGTGAACGGCGGCGTCGGCCGGCAAAGAAGAAACGAGGAAGCAAGAGCAGCGCGGGAAGAAGAAGAAGATGAAGAAGAAGAAGAAGAAGAAGAAGGAAAAAAAAAGAAAAAGAAGAAAAGGAAGAGAGAGAGAGGAGAGTGGATAGGTCTGACTGGGGGAAAAAGGGGACAGACGTGCGCATGGGGGAGGTGACTGGGGGGAGAGAGAGAGAGAGAGAGAAGAGAGAGAACAAAAGTCCAAATAATCATTGCGATCCAACGGCCCACATTTAAAATCGAAAACGATCCAACAGTCCAAATTAATCCTGGAATATAATAAGGGACAAAGGCCAAATTAATTAAATCAAACTACCCCGAGGGAGGTCTACTAGTCCAAATTCGCACCCTGTCAAAAATCCACTTTTCACATATCTCGGGCAATATCGAGGCTGGCCACAATAATATCGACACCGTCCAATTAAATTCGTCCCGGAACTCCGAGAAATTTGACACTAAAGTTTGGGCTCTAAATAACGGCAAAATTCGATCGAATGTGATTCTAGCGAAATCTCAAATTTAAAAACAATAACCGGGAGTGATCAGTTCCCGGGCGAGATTTTACTATAAGCACACTGACGAATTACACGTTTTATAAATCCCAAAAATAGGTCGAAATTCGGAATATCATAGTTACATCAGCAATGACCTTCCATAATTATATACGAAGAAATGCCGTCAATGATAGACATTTTGCAAGAGCATATTTGGATCCCAATTATGGATATTCAATTGATCTTGATGATGTAAATGATGGGGCTAGTGCTTCAAATGATAATTTAATTTCTGACATGGCACGTTCACGTGATCAAATAGCTATAAGTTTAGTAAATACTTAAGGATGCTTGTAAATTTCAATGATAATCTATTTTTTCCTCGATGCATATGTGACAATGTTTATTATAATGAAATTACTCTCTTTTTAACTTTGATGTGGTTTATTTATTTATGAATTTGTTAATATATCTCTTTTACATTACTCTAAACGCGAAAATATAAAAGTTACAATCATTATTTTTTTCAATTTTAAACAAATCAAAATTAAAAAACTTAAATTGGTCAAACCAAAAGACTTCCCCAAATATATGTTTACCAAACAGTATTTCTCCAAAGTTGCTTCTCAAGGCACTTTGCAATTACAGTTTACCAAACAGTCTTTGCATTTTACCAAAACCCTCTAAACTAAAGGCCTTTGCTTTTCTTCAAAGGCTTTCCCCAAAAGCCTTCCCAAATGCAGCCCCCCCCTCTCTCTCTCTCTCTCTCTCTCTCTCTCTCTCTCTCTCTCTCTCTCTCTCTCACACACACACACACACACACAGAGCTCTTGAGCTTCTCATCATCGCTTGAAATGATCCAGCACTAGCTAAATCAATCTCTGTCAACCGGAGAGAACTCAGTGGCAGTCGGCGATAGATTCAATGACGGAGTTGGTGGACGCGATTGAGTGTTTTTGGTAACTGACGACGATGGTGGAGAGTCTCTTGGTTTTGGTTTGGATTGAGATGGTTGATGTTGATCTTAGCTTGAAGATAGATATGAATGGCGCAATCATGCTTAGATCAGTGTGAAGAAAATTTCGGAGAGAAAAAAGGATTTTTGATAGTCATCTTCAGGCCCGTTTGGTTTGACTTTGGGGGAATGCCCTTGACAAAATGCAAAGGCCTTTGGGCTAAAGGGTTTTTGAAAATGCAAGTAGTTTTTGGCAAGTGTATTTTAAAATCACATTTGAAAGCAATTTTGGCCTAAATACTGTTTGGTAAAAACTATATTTTGTAAAGGGCTTTTGCTAATATTTAAAAACAAAAAAACAAAAAGCTTGAGGTGGAGCTTAGCCACCGCCATCGGCTAGATCTGGTCGTCGGCCAACCGCCAATGGCCAGATCTGGTTGCCGACTAGCCTCGCCTGACCTCAGGTGAGACGGCCTGAGGTCGCGCAACCTCAAGCGTCGCTTGGGTCGCGCACAGGCAACACCTGAGTTTCGGCAACCGTCACTCGTGGTCGTGCTAGCCCTTAGGCGGTGGTCGCCGGCCGCCGGACCTGCTGCTTGAGGAAGATGAATAGTGCGATGAACAGCAAACTTGCATTCCGAAAATGTAACTTGCCAAAATACCTCTGGACCTGCCTTAGGCTAAAGGCCTTTAGAGTCCTTTGGAAATGCAATTGCATTTCCCCAAAGTGCTCCAAAAAAATTGCCAAACGCAAATGTGTTTAACCAAGGGACTTTAGAGTCCCAATGCTCATTTCAAATGCTGAACCAAACGGGCCATTCATCCGCTTTCACCTGCAATATCACCATTCCTGACCACCATAGCAAGGGTTTGTCCACCATCTACAATGATCAGAGTTCATACATGCCTGAGAGTGGATCCACATAGAGAAAAAATGCAAGAAAGTGAGAGAAGCTTCGACATTCCTCTCTCCATTAATTTGGAAATTGCTTCATGGGGGCATAGATGAATTCAATGAAGAGAGAGAAAGTGAGACCAGGACGAGCCAAGTGTCGTGCATTGAGTGGTTCGGGACCCGTGGAGTTCCTGGACCACCTAATATTTTCTCCCCTATAAATAGCCTTCCAATCTTCAAACTTCCAACAAATTTGTTGGACTCACTTCCCTGCTCGACAAACCTACAAAATGCACGTCCAGTCTATCATCATGGATGTCTTTCATGCATGTAAGAGTCAATTTCCATGTCATTGACGCATCTTACGATCGAAACTCACATCACTGACACATGCACATTCAATCATTGGATATTCATTCACTCTGCTTTTAAATCTTCTATCATATGTCTATTTTAGTTAATATTAACTTTAAAATTTCAGACTGCATTTTGCAGGTCCAACTAAGCAAGTATCATTACTCGGTCTTTTCTATAAGCTCAATAGATAACAACCCCAAATATTGTAAATGCAAAATTTCTTCATGGTAATAACAAAAAGGAGAATAAATATTCTTAAAAACAAGTTTACCGGTATATATCTGTGCAAAACGGGTGCCAAGCAACTAGTTTATTAGGCTATATAGGGCCCAAAAAGTGCGAAATCCAAATTGGACGGCCCACACTTAGAGAGCTAGCCTTTCACCCACACTACACTACAGATACAAAGTAACAATCCTTGCAAAAACGCAAAACACAATTTACTTTCAACTTAGACATCGGAAGGTCCTCCTGAGATGCACCAAAATTGGTGCTTTAATTTCCTAGCAAAGCAAGGAACTTATCGCTACTAGCATACATGCACTCAAATCTTCAGAACCAATAAATAACTTTGAATTTTCCTAATAAAATTGGAAAGACTCACCGAGTCTTCAAAGCCAATTTTGCTTTGTGGGTTAGGCTTGAATGGGTCACAAATCCTTTTAGTCTACTTCTTTGAGAAAAGTACCAAAAAAGTCATAGACCTATTGTACTGGTATCAATTCAGTCCTAAACTTTTCAATTGGACCAATATAATCCTAAACATTTTCATATTTGTACTAATTCAGTCCATCCATCCTCGCCCAGATCAGGCGAGGGTCGTTGGCCCTCGCTTGTGGCTGACGATCGCCGGCCAACCAATTCTGGAAAAGGAAAAAAGAAATAAAAGAAAAGAGAAAAAAAGATAAAAAGATAAAAAATTTTGAAAAAAACTATTAAAAATTATTAAATTTATCCACGTCAGCGCCGGCGATATCACGTAAGACTGCCGGCGTCCACGTCAGCGATTTCCGACCTAAATTAACCGGATGAACTGAATTGGTATAAATGTAAAAATATTTAGAACTAAATTGATCCAATTAAAATATTTAAGACTGAATTTATATTTTTTTTTCTAGGAAGACTGAATTTATATTAATACAATAAGTTTATGATTTTTTTTTTTGGTACTTTTAGGGCCCGTTTGGTAACGTGCCAAATAGTGAAAATTTCTGTTCTTTTGTTCCCAGAAATAGTTTGGGAACAGAAATGCGTTTGGTAAACTTTTTGTTCCTCGGCACATTTTTGCAAAAATTTGTGCCGAGAAACAGTTTTGGAAGAGAAACAAGAAGTAAAAAAAAGTTGCTTCTTGTTTCTCGGCACAATTTTGAGAATCAGTTTTTTTTCTTTTTTTTCTTTTTTTTCATTTCTTATTTTGTGTGTTGTTCTTCCTGGCTGAGCCGGCCGCCGGTCGCCGGTCTCCGGCGGCCGGCGACCGGCCACAGCCCAGAGGCCGGCGAGGGCGTCACGGCCCTCGCCGGCGAGGGTCGCCTCGCTGCGAGGCGCGGGGCCGGACCTCGCCGCCCGGGCGAGGCGGCCTCGCCCAGATCGAGCGAGGCCGAGCCTCGCCGTCCGTCGCGACGGCGAGGTCGGCTCGCCGCAGACGGCGAGGCTCGGCCTCGCCAGATCCGGCGAGGCCGAGGCCTCGCCGTGGGTCGCGACGGCGAGGCTCGGCTCGCCAGATCTCGGCGAGGCCGAGGCCTCGCCGTGGGTCGCGACGGCGAGGCTCGGCTCGCCGGATCCGGGCGAGGCCGAGCCTCGCCGTCTCCGGGCGAGGCCGCTCGCCCGGGCGGCGAGGGTCCGCCCTCGCCCTCGCCTGTGAGGCGACCCTCGCCGGCGAGGCGACCTCGCCTCCGCCGGCCGCCGGCGAGGTCCGTGATGCCCTCGCGGCCGGGCAGGCGTGGCCGCGCCGCGACGCGACCGGCCATGGCCAAAGAAGAAAGTAGAAAAAAAATTTAAACAATTCAAAATATTATTAAAATATTATTTGGGAACGTAAATTTTGTGTAGTTACCAAACGCATTTCTGTTCTTTTCTACTCTAGGAATAGAAATTTTGGACATTTATCAAACGCCTTTAAATACTCGGAAATTGTTTCAAGACAAAATAAAAAATCATTTACGTTCGAAAATACCTGCAAGCAACGGTATTCATGCGCACCCTTACCTGCCTTCCTTCGCACCGGTCTTCACAGGCCGACACTTCCCTTTTGATGCGACGTCCTAGAAAAAACCCTCGGCCTTACCACTGGGCCCCGAAAAGAAGAAGTTTTTTCTCTCGACCCTCTCTTCTTCATCCTCTGGTTAATTCGCCACATCGATCTTCATGGTGATGTTGTAGATCTCTCTCGTTGACGAAACCCGGTTTCCCAGTTCGTGCATTGGATCTCGAGGCCAAGCTTCCACCAGCAACGCTCGGCAGGTCTTGGTTTTGGTTGGGTCGTGTGATATTTTCGCCGATCTAAGAGTGAGTCTTGAAGTTTGCGAATTTTGTCCCTGATCCGATCTTGGTTTTCTGCATTTACTGTCTCTTTGCTTGACTTTTTTGGGTTTCCTGTGTTAACTTCGTTGATTTCCTCGGTTTTCTTGATTGACCCACTTCAAGATTGGCGCTATCTTGATTTCTAATATGATGATTATGTTGACTGAATTGGGTCTGCTCGTGTTTTTAATTATTAGATCAGATCTTAGATAGTGGTTGATGGCGGTTTCTGGTAACCCCTCGGTCTGAGACGCCTAGGAGCTATGAGTCCGATGCTCAAACTTTTCTGGGTCAGATGTGGTTATATGATCTCAAACCAATTACCTCCGTATACGATTCTTGCAGTCATATTGATTTGATAGATTCGCGGACGACTGAATTTGTTTGTTTTTAGCCGTGCTTTGGTTTTTATTGGCGGATATGATCTGATAACCTTGGCCTTTATGCTGCAGTTGGTGAACGAGCTGCTCTGTTATTGTCGAGATGTCGACGTATGACGAAGTTCTGAAGGCGGTCTTTCCTTTTCTGGATGGCACAGACCTGGCTTCTTGTATGGTTGTGTGTAAGCAGTGGAGAGAGATAGCCAGAGATGATTACTTTTGGAAGTGCCTATGTGCCAGAAGATGGCCTTCGATTTGCAAACGACCAAACTCCTTTAGGGTAACCTACTACGAACTATATCAAACATTCCACAAACGCCAGCAACGGAAAGCACTTCTTCCCCCGCGACTTTGCTTCGAGTACTTGGAATTCTTTATTGACATATGGACTGAGGATAAATTGATCTTCTCAGAAGTGGTCCCAGGCCCTACCCTTGAGGCCGGAATAAAGAACCCACCTTCCGGAGTGAGTGAAGGGATTAGGCTTCACCTAGAGTGTCCTCAGTACAAGTTGACAATACCTGTAGATCCGAGATTCACTGTGGCTTTCAGCCAAAACCTGACTGTTTCGGTGCTCGTAAGACGCAAGGATTCTAATAGAGTTGCTTGCATCATCAATAAGTCAACTTTTGGCTATACAGATCGAACATCAAATAGGTTCATGGCATTTGAATACCTCGACTTTTCTCCTCTCTATCCTTTCATTTCTAATACTCGAGCATGGATTTCTTTGCTTTTTATGGACAAGGATCAAAATGAGGGTGTCATTGATGTTTTTGGTATCGAAGTGGACTTCTGTGATGCTGCAAACTCCAAGGAAGAGGTACTCTGGCTAATAGACATGCTTGATTGGAAATAAGGGACCGATGCATTGAAAGCAGAATAGTGGCTAAACTTGTTCATTAATATGTATTTCTGTATACCAGCAAGTATTTAGTGGCTGCACCTGGTACTGAGTACAAGGTATATTTATGGGATTTGCCTTCTGTCAATGCTACAGTTAGCTGGACTGATGGGGACTTCATGTCATCTGTTGTAGATAGTCTCTGTCCAATTTCAATAAAAATGTACATCTGTCAATGTCAACTTTCGAATTTTGTTGCTTCTTTACTATTTAGTCTGGCATTGAAATAGCCAGAGAATATGAATGATTTATGTCTTTTGCGTTAACGTTTCAAACATGAACATTTTACACTAGACTAATCTTCTCAGATGTTTAGTTTTTCTTTTAACAGCAATTTTATTATGTCACATTGGATTTTTTTTTTCTTTGTAATCCTTGCATACTGAGATAATTATTAGGACTATAAATAGGGCACAAACTATTTTTGGAGGGTTAAAGCACAGCAGTTTCCCCTGGCTTCTGGTATCTCGAATGCCAATAGTTCTTTACTGAGCTGAAGGTCCTCTTTTATACCTGCTCGCCTACTGATTTTGTTTTGCTTTGCAATCTGTTTTTTCCACTATTCCCCAAGTTTGGAAGAATTGTTGGAAGACAATGTTCATTTTCAATGCTTGTCGTGTAACTGTATTCCATTTTTCAATAGGTTCACTTGCCATTTTTCTCTTCTTTGTTGGGTCTTCCTTCTTGTGCATTATAGTGTGACACACTGATGTTTGCCATTCCACTTTCCTCAATTGTTTCTTCATGTGATCTCAGAGTCAAGCCCATAGCATTTGGTCTTGTCTTCCGAGCAATCGATGGTGTTAGATAAATGGATCAATTCTTCGGTTATATATGTCGGTAGTCTCTCTCTCTCTCTCTCTCTCTCTCTCTCTCAAAGTTTCGTCCAGGAGAAGGTATTCTACTTGTGTACATGAAAAGAAATTATTTATTGCTTTGATCATTATGTCAAGTTTTTTTTTGGTCAAAATTATGCGAAGTTATTGGTGTGTCTTTTATTGATAGTGCACTTTCTGGTTCTCTCAATTCATTCTTTCTCCATTTGTTTCATTTTTCTTTTGAAGTTTGGTTTGTAACTTTGACCTCCTTCTGCATGCTATGCCCTACATGCCTCTATGGATATATGTAGGCTCTATCCCTTTCGTATGGATCTGGTTTTCTTGGATTCGGAGGTAGCATTAATGACTCTGTATGTTCTCTTTAAAAATATGTTTTTCCGATGATTATTCTCTCAGTCTCTTGAAATTTGATAGTTGAACCATGATTGACAAATCGGGAATGGTTTTTGATTTGTTTTCTAGTTTCCCTTTTATCTGCTAGCCGTTAGGCTAATTATCAAGATACTTGTAGTCTCTCTTTGGACTGTCATGCCATGAGCAAGTGCTATCTTTAGTCCTTTGGGGAATTCAATAATGTATCCTGTGGCACCACCATGCTTCATGAATTCTTATTAGGAAACTTGCAATGACAACTCAATAACTATCATGGCTTCAAAAAATGAAACATGAGAAGGTAGAAGTTTTGGATGAGTGTATATGATGCTTCTCCCACCAAGCTTCTAGGCAGAAACTTCTCCGAATGAAGGGATTTAAGGTGTTTCCATCAAATTTTGCTGCCAACGAGCCTGATTGAGTGAATCTAGCTAAATTAAATTGCTTGTAGTCCACTCTTAGCAGTCAACCGTCGTCAGATTTTCCTGATTTTTATTTCTATTATTCCCAATCCTCTTTTTTCAGCAAATATACCTTGGATTGTCCTGTTTCTTCAAATTTAGTGTCAGAATGCGCATGTTTTTGCTTCAACTACTATGAATTTCTCACTTCATGCTTGTGAAGATCACAACCCAAATTTTGAGGAATCACACTCATTATGCTCTTTCATCTGGTTTGATTTCCTGGAATGTGTGTTATTCTTCTGCTGTGATATCGAATGCTTGTGAGTTTCCTGGATGGAGATATTAACTGATATCCCTGTTGCCGCTTCTAAACCTTTTTAATCTGTCTCCCGAGCTTGGTCGTGGAAGGAGGTTTTTAAAATTTCTCAACCATTAATAAATGAGGGAGTTGAATGATGGGATTCATGTGTTGTTGGACAATTGCTTGGTCCTTGAGTTCATGTTGGTTGGATTCATTCTTAGCCAATTGAGTCAAGATGGCCCTTTAGAAGTGATTAAATGGGAAATTAGTTTGTTATATTTCTAGACTTCCTAGTTCTGCAGTTACTGATTGGATTTAAGCAATTGGAGAATGCACATTAACTATCAACAATTTTTTTACTTTTGAAACCTACTAGATTGTTGTAAAATTCTGTGTGGATCTTACTAAAGAAATTGCTTATAGGAATATATACTGCTTCTGCAGTTGGTTGCATTGCTAGTGCAGTGCCAACCGAGCACTCGGCCTGGTGGTTAAGGGTTTGGGGGTGTTGGGCCGAGTTGTTTAGGGTCCATGTTTTTTGTACTAGAAACCAAAAGCAAAGTCAAATCTTTCAAGCAAAACACCTTTGCATTTTGATAGATCCAGGTTAGATGATGCAATATTGTATGTTGAAGAGGTATCTGGATCTGAACTCGTTGTAGAATTCCTGTGAGTTTATAGCATGGTTCTTCCAATGAAGTCGAATGTCTCTGGAAACCTTTGCAGAATTTTCTGTACCTCTCGATTCTCAAACAAAGATCTGATGGGGACATTTCAAAGCTGAGTGTGAATAAACCTTATTCAGTTTTATGATGTACTTGATGGGATGCTTGATTTAGAGGAGAAAGTGATTGTTCGAAATTATGATCTCCCTGTTTCATCTTCATCTAAATTTCTAACAGGTTTTCTGCACTTATTCAGTCTAATGTTTCTGGCATTTTATGGATGAAGCTAATTCTTCTGCTACTTCATCATTTGGCTTGTCCTTCGCTTGGTTCTCATTCTGGTGATTTTATGCGGAAATCTGTTGCTTTTCTTCATTCTCTGAATTCTTCTAAAGCACTAAGAGGTATGCTGCTTTTTTTTCTTTTTAGGGAGGCCAGATGAATATAAGTCTACTGGTTTTGAGTGTTAAAACCTGCTGGTTCTCCTGCAACAATCTCTGTCCTTGTCTCGTGTCTTCGCTTGAGATATCAGGCATTTGATGGTCCTCGGTAACATTATGGTTGGATTTGTGGGTGTGTCCTGTTTGCATTCTTGCTTTGTTTGAATCTCAAGTAAGAGAAACTAATGCTGCTCCTATTCATCTAGCAGTATGAAAACATCTGATTTATTTTTGTCAATCTAATTCTTATTTCTGGATGATCCTGCATAGTAGCCATCTTCACATTTTGCTCCATTACAACCAAGAAAGTTTAGGGTCCGTTTGATTCGAAGGAAATATGTTTCTAGAAAATTGTTTTTCGAATTTTGAGTGTTTGGATGACGGAAACTTTATCGATTTATAGAAAACGTTTTTTTTTTTTTGGGTCGAAACGTAAAACGTTTTGCATGAGTTGAAAATAACAAGCGATTGGGGTTAATTATTGTTCTCTTTTAGCAAAAAAGAAATCATTTTCCCTAGGCCACCATAAAAAATATTTTCCTTTGTCATGATTTATGAAGTTTTCAGTTAAACAAACGAATCTTTAATCATGGTTCCACTTTCTTTACGTTATGATGTGGTTGAATTATGCTATATGTGAGTTGCTATCTACATATAAAGGCTCGATTCAGCAATCAAATCTTTTTCATGTAGAATCATCTAATGACAATCTAAAATTGGGTTGCATAGATGTCAGAAAACCGACGTGGATTCTATTGAAATAAATGATAACTTAAAAGGTACGCGTCAAGAAAATTGGGATTCAATTTCCCTTGCAATTAGGGCTAAGAGTTTTTTTTTTAGTCAATTTCAAGCTAATTTCTCAATTAAGGGGAATTTTCGAATATGTGCACTAAAACTGCGTATTTTGAATTTGATGTCCAAAGTTTGAGAAATATTTCCTCGACAACCAGGTTGGCAAAAGTTTATTGTCAAAAAAGGGATGGAAATATTTCCTCGCAAATAAGGGCCTGTTTTGTTCGGTATTTGGGGAAAGCCTTTAGCCAAATGCAAAGCCATTTAGCACAAATAGCTTTGGGGAAATGTAAGACTGTTTGGCAAACTGTAATTGAAAAGTGCTTTGGGGAAATGCAAGCTGTTTGGTAAACATATATTTGGAAAGTCCTTTGGTGTGACCAATTCAAGTTTTTTTAATTTTAATTGTTTAAAATTGAAGTAAAAAAAAAACAATGATGGCAACTTTTATATTTTCGCATCGAGAATAATGTAATAGAAATATATTAACAAATTTTAAAAAAAAAAAGTCATTTCATTATAATAAACATAATCACATGTCCTTAAGAATGAAATACATTATCCTTAAATATTACAAACATCCTTAACGACTTTGTAAATTCATGACTATTTCATCACGTAAACGTACCATGTTAGAAGATACATTATCATTTAAATCACTCATCTCCTCATTTATATCATCGTGATCAACTGAATATCCATAATCGGGATCCAATTCTGCACTTTCAAAATCCATATTGATCACGGCATTTCTTCGTATATAATTGTGCAAAGCCATTGTCGCTATGACAATTTGCACTTGCTTTTCATACAGATAACTTGGCATATTTGTCAGAATCTTTCACTTATTTTTTAATACACAAAAGGCTCACTTAATTACTGAGCGTAGAGAGGAATGGGCACAATTGAACACTTCTCGATACCTCGTTGGTGTAGGACCTTGTCGAAACTCTAGCAAATGATATTCAACATCTTTATATGGCCCCAAATAACCCGTGAGATTTGGATATCCAGCATCTACTAAATAATATTTACCTACATAAATATAATGAAAATTTAATCAATATATGCCACATAGATACATATGTATGTACCTAAACAATTAATTAACGAACCTAGAGGAGGATGAGGAAATTGTGCATCATGCCTTCCAGTGGCTTCATAGAAGATACGGGTATCATGAGCTTGTCCCTCCCAACCGGCGCAAGCATAGATAAATTCCATGTTAAAATTACATAAGGCTAACACATTTTGAGTCATCGTTCCTTTTCGACTAATAAAACGAATTTGATCGTACGTGGGTACCACCACTGGGATATACGTACTATCCATAGCTCCAATACAATCCTAAAAACAAAAAACGAAATATTACGT